GCATCCTTGTCTTGTTCCTTAATATAGTTTCCCATTTTGGGAGCGTTCTAAGAGTTTATTGTGTTGTTTCTTTATGTGTGTTTTTTGCAGGCAAATTATTTCTGTGTCCAATTTTCATAATTTTGTAAAAAAAAAATCTTTTAGAAGAAGAGTTTAGTCCACTTATATTCATTGAGAGGATCCCCTTTCCTTTCTCCATCTTGCATAATTATATTTAGGGTTTGGTTTCCTAGTGGTTCTTTTCTGTTTTTGTTCTTTTATTGGTCCCTCTTCTTATTGGTCTGTATTTTCTTTCTCTTTGTCTTCTTCTTCACTTTGTATCACTGTCTCTTCTGTCATTATTTAGAATAGAATAGAATAACAGAGTTGGAAGGGACCTTGGAGGTCTTCTAGTCCAACCCCCTGCCCAGGCAGGAAACTCTATACCACTTCAGACAAATGGTTATCCAATATCTTCTTAAAAATTTCCAGTGTTGGAGTATTCACAACTTCTGCAGGCAAGTTGTTCCACATATTAATTGTTTTAACTGTCAGGAAATTTCTCCTTAGTTCTAAATTGCTTCTCTCCTTGATTAGTTTCCACCCATTGCTTCTTGTTCTACCCTCAGGTGCTTTGGAGAATAGTTGACTCCCTCTTCTTTGTGGCAATCCCTGAGATATTGGAACACTGCTATTATGTCTCCCCTAGTCCTTTTTTTCATTAAACTAGACATACCCAGTTCCTGCAACCGTTCTTCATATGTTTTAGCCTCCAGTCCCCTAATCATCTTTGTTGCTCTTCTCTGCACTCTTTCTAGAGTCTCAACATCTTTTTTATATTGTGGTGACCAAAACTGAATGCAATATTCCAAGTGTGGCCTTACCAAGGCATTATAAAGTGGTATTAACACTTCACATGATCTTGATTCTATCCCTCTGTTTATGCAGCCCAGACCTGTTTTGGCTTTTTTGGCAGCTGCTGCACACTGCTGGCACATATCTAAATGGTTGTCCACTAGGACTCCAAGATCCCTCTCACAGTTACTATATTGAGCAAGGTACCATATATACTGTACCTGTGCATTTTGTTTTTCTTCCCTAAATGTAAAACCTTACTTTTTTCACTGTTGAATTTCATTTTGTTAGATAGCACCCAATGTTCAAGTATGTCAAGATCCTTCCGAATCTTGAGCCTATCTTCTGGAGTGTTGGCTATTCCTGCCAGCTTCTCCATGTTCTTTTTAAAATTCCCTATCTTCTTGTGGGTCTTGTGTTTTCCCTTTTAAAATGCTTGCATGTCTCTCATAAAAGTCTGTGCCTTAAATGTAAAGTCCAATCTATATCTTCTGGAGTTCCAATAAATTAGGCTCCCCCCTGGAGCCAGCCATCTTAGATGTATTCCTTTTTCATTTAGTTTTGGAGTCAAGAATTGATATTGTTTTCTTAGATCTCTTATCTTCTAAGGGATCTGTTTCAGCACCATGATCTCCTTGTTTCTGTATTGCAGTGGTTCTTCTCTCACTCTTTTCAATATTTCAATTCTTATTGTTCTCTTCACAAATCTAACATGGACCTCCCTGAGCACTTTGTGTCTTCTTGCTTAGCTTCAGTTGAGTCTGTAAATTTGATCAATCTCTTCTTCTATTACGTCTTTCTCAGTTTGCAGTGCTTCCACTAGCAGGTTTGAAACCAGTCCCATTAAAACTTTCTCACTGTCTTCGGGTATATTCTGAAGTCTTAATACATATGAGGCTTTCTCCATGTCCAATGTTGCCACTGCATCTTCCAGATTTTTATTTGCTTGTGCCAATCTTTGGTTTTCTTCTTTTATTTCTTCCATCTTTTTTCCGTCAGCACCTTACAGGTGATGGGCCAAATACATTGAATCTGTTCAATCCAGTTCACTAAGGAAGGGATCTGGGGTTTCCCCTGGGGCAGTTCTGAAATGGGTACGAAATCCTGACCAGAAGTAACTTTAAATGGGGTAAAACCGGTGCTACTGTGGATCGAGTTATTGTAAGCGAACTCTGCAAAAGGCAGCAAGTTGGCCCAATTGTCATGCTGGTAGTTTACATAGCACCTGAGGTACTGTTCCATAACCAAGTTTGTATGTTCACAGGCCCCATTAGTTTGAGAGTGGTGGGCAGAGCTTAAACCCTGGGCGGAGCCTAACAACTTCAGGAACTCCCTCCAGAAGTGGGAGGTAAATTGTACCCCCCTATCCGAAATGATGTGGTCAGGAACCCCATGTAATCTATGTTGGATAAACAGTTTGGCAAGCATTTTTGCGGAAGGGATCTTGGAGCAGGGTTCAAATTGCACCTGCTTGAAAAATAGGTCTATGATCATCCGAATGACTGTGTTCTCCCCGCTCTCAGGTAGTTCAACAATGAAGTCCATGGATATTTCCTTCCCAGGGGCATCAGGACTGGCAACACTCTGGAGGAATCCACCAGGCTTCCCAGGGGGCCTCTTAGCAGAAGCACACACAGGACAACTGGCCACGTAGGTTTCTATATCCTTTTTCAACAAGGGCCACAAGAACTGCCATTTGACTAGGTGTAAAGTTTTCACGAAGCCAAAGTGTCCAGCAGCTTTCAAATCATGGGCCTATTGCAGCACAGTTCCCCTAAGATCGGTGGGGACGTATAGTTTAGTGCCAATCCATGCTAGGCCACCTCGCATTGTACACTCATTTGAGTGGGAAGGAACCAGTCATCACTTTTCAGCTCTCCTTTCAGCTCCTCACTTAAGTCACTGGGAAGATCGAAGTCCACTTTCTCCTGGGTTCTGGTGACCACCAGAGCAGCAAATTGCTTGGAGGGGATAACTGGGTGGATTACTTCTGGCCGAGCACTATTGTACCAGGGCAATCTAGATAAAGCATCCCCCATAAAGTTCTTCCCCCCAGGAAGGTAGCTCAATGAAAAATTAAAATGGTTAAAGTGTTGTGCCCAATGAATTTACTTTGGTGACAGTTTTCGGGGTGTTTTTAAGGCTTCCAGGTTTTTAAGGTCAGTCCACACCTCAAAAGGGTGCTTTGCCTCTTCAAGGAAATGCCTCCAAGTTAAAAGGGCCCATCGGACAGCAAATGCTTCCTTCTTCCACATTGCCCATCTCCTTTCAGTTTCAGTTAATTTCCTGGAGGTGTAAGTGCAGGGTTGTAAGGCCCTAGCAATAGCATGGCCCCTACAGTCATGTCACTGGCGTCAGCCTGAACTACCAAGAGGACATCCATATCAAGATGTTTAATGACTGGTTTGGCTGCAAACAGCTGCTTAAGTTTCTCAAAGGCTGCTTGGCATTCCATTGTCCACTCGAGGGGATGGCTAGGCTTTGGCTTAACCTCTCCCTTTGTCTTTAGAAGGTTGATAATGGGTAATACAATTTTAGCAAAGGTGGGGATGAATTGTTGATAAAAGTTCGCAAAACCCAGAAAGCTTTGCAATTGTTTTCTGGTGCAAGGGGCCGCCCACTCTATGACCGTCTGCACCTTCTCAGGGTCCATTTCTATCCCCTCATATGATATGCGGTAACCCAAATAGTCAATTTTATCCTGGTGAAATTCACACTTTCACAATTTGGCATACAGTTCAGCAGCCCTGAGTTGTTTCAGGACTGAGCGCACTAGCTTCACATGTTCCTCCATAGTTTCGGTGTCAATAAGAATGTCATATATGTAAACCAGGATCCCCTTGTACAAATTATCATGAAGCATCTCATTGATCAATTGCATGAACACAGCAGGTGCCCCTTGTAATCCAAATGGGAGCACCTTGAACTGGAAGCAACCCAAAGGGCAATTGAAAGTGGTTTTCCACTCATCTTCCTCCTTAATGTGGACTCTGTAATAAGCTTCTCTCAAGTCCAGTTTAGTAAAGATTTTTCCTTTGGCCAGATGAGCCAACATGTCCTTCATTAGCTGTAGCAGATAAACATTCTCCACACACACTGCGTTGAGACACATAAGCAAAGAAAGCCTCACAAAAAAACACCACCCACGGCTTAGCTGGTTGGATGAAGCCCCGCTTTAGATTTTTGTCAATAAAGGCTCAGAGTTCCTCCAGCTCTCGCGGGGTCATCAAATAGGCTTAGGGAGTTTCACCCCAGGGAGGATTTCTATGCTGCAGCCCATGGGGCAATGGGGTGGGAGCACATCCAAGCCCCTCTCACTGAATGCCTCCTTGAGGTTCCAGTATTCTTTTGGGATTTTCTCCTTGCCGTTTAGGCGCTCACTCACTACAGCTCCTAGCTCCCTCGCGGCCTTGGCTCTGGGGGTGGTTTTACCTCCCCCTCTTCCTGGCTGGGTGGAACAAATTCATAAAAGCCCCTTCCTCCAATTCACATGGGGGTTCCATTTTTGGAGCCAGGGTAAGGAATAAGTGTAGTTGATTATTTTAAGATTCCACAAATTTATGCTTATCTAATAATATATTTTTCTGTAGGGAATCACCCAGGTAGTGATCCTTTCCCATAAATCTGCTGTCTGAATCCTAAGGTAAAGATAAAAGTAAAGGTTCCCCTCGCACATATGTGCTAGTCATTCCCGACTCTGGGGGGTGGTGGTGCTCATCTCCGTTTCAAAACCGAAGAGCCAGCGTTGTCCGAAGATGTCTCCGTGATCATGTGGCCAGCATGACTAAACGCCAAAGGTGCATGGAACGCTGTTACCTTCCCACCAAAGATGGTCCCTATTTTTCTACTTGCATGTTTTACGTGCTTTCAAACTGTTAGGTTGGCAGAAGCTGGGACAAGTAACAGGAGCTCACTCCGTTAAGCAGCATTAGGGATTCGAGCTGCTGAACTGCCAACCTTTTGATTGACAAGCTCAGCATCTTAGCAACTGAGCCACCGCATCCCTGAATCCTAAAGTTGCTATTAAATTCTCAGTTGTAGTTCACTGTCCCCCCCCCCAATAACAAAAAGACCTCACATTAAAAAGCACCTCTCATTAAAAAGCTTGTGCATTTCTTTTTTTAATATATAGAATTGGAGAAGGAATTCTTATAGCTTTCACTGACCTGAAATCCTTGAGCCCTTTGTAGATTCCACTGCCTGTGTCTGGTTTGTGGGATGCAAGGAAGTCATTCAACAAGATCCGTGCAAAAGACTTCTGCACCAGCTTACAGAATGGTGTGTGGAAGATCATGAACTGGAAATCTTCCAGAGTACAGAGTTTGCTTATCCCAGCTGCTCAAGTAAAATAATTTAAAGAAGAAGAAGAATAGAAATAATTTGGCAAATTCACCCAAAGAGAAGGGTGTTTTATAAAAACAGATAGAGATAATCTCTGTTTTCTGGATCCTCCCCATCAGGACTTCAAACTTCAGTAAACATGCTCCACTCCGTAAGAAACCATTACTTCTATAGCTCATCCCTGCTGCACAACCGCCATCTCCTGCAATTATGCATAATACAAAAATTGATTTATTTAGTATAAATAAATCCTTTGCCCTTCTTCTGGAGCCACTAATTGAGATGGGGTGATAGGGCCTGCAACTTTGAGACAATTCTCCAAATTGTCTCCTTCTCACTTCTAAAATATTTAAGTTTTCTAGACATAAGACTGTAGCAAATTCATTAATTACATAAATCCAAATCATTTCACTAGCATTTTGGGTTTTATTTCTGAGAGCTGAAACTTATGTACAAAGTATTTAGAGTTTGGGGAAGAGAAAAGAAAATGAGAGTCATAAGAGAAGATAAAAGAAATGAAGAGAGAGAATTGCTTTTGAAAGAAAACATAAGTAAAGTATAAATAAGGCCAAACAGTCTTAATTCTGGAAATATCAGCTTATTGCAATAAAGCAACTGAATTACATGGCAACTTAGCATCTCTAGTCTAACTAAGACAATTGTACTTGGGATCTCCACCAATTGTATAGTTCTGTAATTCTGTGATAGTTCCCATTTCTTAAGACAGGTTTACTTCATTGTTTGTAAGAGAAATAAATTAATGCTTCTGCTACCCAACCAAGCAGAAAAAGTAGATGTACTTTTTGCTAACCAACTAACAAATATATGTAGGAGACACACTACAATAGTAATGGGGCTTTTTAATTACCCTGACATCAACAGGAAGACTAATTCTGCATCAACTGAGAGATTGAACATGTTCCTGACCAACCTAACTGACAACTTTGTTGTCCAAAAGGTAGAGGAGGGAACTAGAAAGACGGCCATAATTCTTACTAACACAGAAGAAGTGATAGAATGAGGTGAAATTACAGGAACCTTGGGTGAGAGTGACCATGTCATATTGGAATTCAACATAATAGAACATAATCATGCCAGAACATAATATACATAATAGAACATAATCATACTTGGATTTTAAAAGGCTTGGTTTTAACAAACTCAGAGTTTGGGAAAGTTCCTTGGATGAAAATCCTAAAGGGCAAAACAACTCAAGAAGTTTGGGAAATTCTGCAGTGTCTGGGAGACACTAAAAAATATGATCATAAAAGCCCAGTCCAACACAATACTACTGAAAAAGAAAAACAAGAAATTCAAGAAGAAACCAGTATGGCTGCACAAAGATCTCTCTGACACACTGAAAGACAAAAAGGACAGGTACAAAAAATGGAAAGAGGGACACACAACTAAAGCTGATTATCAGCAAATAGCCAGAACATGCAAAGATGAAATCAGGAAATCAAAGGCTCAAAATGAATGAAGATTTGCAACAAAAGTCAAAGATAATTTTAAAAAGTTACTTTCAAACATATAAATAACCAAAAAAAAAAAAAAGTCAAGGAAACAAATGGTTCACTAAAGAGAGAAGATGGCAATCAAGTAATAGGCAGTGGAGAGAAAGCAGAACTGCTTAACTCATTATATGCATCAGTCTTCATGCAAAAAGAAACTATTGCCTAATCTACCAAAAACATAACTGTAAAGGACAGACTAAAAATTAAAATAAGTAAGAAAATGGTAAGAGAACACCTGTCTGACCTTAATGAATATAAATCATGGGACAGATTACATCCCAGAGTTCTGAAGGAGCTGGCAGATGTTATCTCAGAACAATTGCACCATATCTTTCAAAAATCCTGGTGCACCGGGGAACTACCTGAGGATTGGAAAAGATGTGATGTGGTTCCCATCTTGAAAAAAGGGAAAAAAATAAAGACCAAGGAAACTGCAGGCCAATCAGCCTAACATGAATACTTGGGAAGATACTGGAAAAGATAATAAAAAAAATAGATCTGCAAACTTCTAGAAACAAATAGAGTTATAACTAGAAGCTAGCACAGGTTGGTTAAAAACAGATCATTCCAAACTAATCTTATTTCATTCTTGGACAAAGTGACTAAACTAGTAGACCAGTGAAATGTTGTAGACATAGTATACTTAGACTTCTGTAAGGCATTCAACAAAGTAGACCACAACCTATTTCTTGGTAAGGTAGAAAAAAGTGGGATAGATAGCATCACCACCAGATGGATTTATAACTGGCTAACAAACCATTCTCAAATAGTAGTCCTTAATGGTACTACATCTACACGACGGGAAGTAAGCAGTGGGGTACCACAAGGTTCTGTCCTAGGCCCAGTAGTCTTCAATATCTTCATAAATGACTTAGATGAGGGAATAGAAGGGGAACTGACCAAATTTTCAGATGACACTAAGCTGGCAGGAATAGCCAACACTCTAGATGATAGGCACCAAGATCCAGCTGGATTTCAACAGATTTGAACATTGGGCCCTTTCTAACAAAATGAAATTCAATGTAGAGAAAAGTAAAGTCTTACACTTAGGCAAGAGAAACCAAAAGTACACGTATAGATTAGGTAGAACCTGGCTTAATAGCAGTAACTGTGCGAGGAATCTTAGAGTCCTAGTGGACAATCAAGTAAATATGAGCCAGAAGTGTGCAGCAGCAGCCAAAAAAGCCAATGTAATCCTAAAGAGCATTAACAGAGGGATTGAATCAAGATCAAGTGAGGTACTAGTAAGTAGTAAAGCCTTAGTAAGGCCACACCTGGAATACTGCATTCAGTTTTTGTCACCATGCTATAAAAAAGATGTTGAGACTCTAGAAAGGGTGCAGAGAAGAGCAACAAAGATGATTAGAGGCCTGAAGACTAAAACATGAAGAACGGTTACAAGAACTGGGAATGGCTAGTCTAGTGAAGAGAAGGACCTGGGGTGACATGATAGCAGTGTTCCAATATTTGAGGGGCTGTCACAGAGAAGAGGGGGACAACCTATTTTCCAAAGCACCTGAAGGCCAGACAAGGAATAATGGATGGAAACTGATCAAGGAGTGATTTAACCTAGAAATAAGGAAATTTTTTCTAACAGTGAGAACAATGAACCAATGGAGCAGCTTGCTTTCAAAAGTTGTGAGTGCTTCATCACTGGAGGCTTTCAAGAAGAGACTAGATAGCTACTTGTCAGAAATGGTTTGGGTCTCCTGCTTGAGCAGGCAGTTGTATTATATATCCTACAAGGTCCCTTCCAACTCTGTTATTCTAAATCTATGCCTTTATTGAGATAAATAAAATCTCTGGATGAATCACTTGTATTATCTTATAATGGAAATCACCTTGGAACAAAGACAACTGAGGTCAGAAAAGAATTGACAATGGGGACAGTGAATGTTCATGTAAATATTGCTTTCTACCAAGTCAAGGCAATACTCAGTAATTCAGTCATGAGGAAAGGCCCTGAAATAAGAAGAAGGAATATATTCCTTACTTCAGATTCCATTGTTGAGCAGAGCTATAGGTTCAAGATTCTTCCTTCTCCTTTTCCACTGCCCAAAGCATTAATCTAAAACACAGATTAGTTAATTTTAAGATCATGGCCCCTTTCAATAGCGTTGCACAAGATGAGGACTATTTCTCTCTTATTTCCTATTACTGTATTTACTATTTCCTTTTCACATCTTAAATACAACTTTCCATGGGTGGAGCTCTGTACCAAGCTATACTTGCATAAATAGATCAGCATATCAGAGGATAAGAAAAAAACATGGGAAAGCTTAGCTTTCCAGACATACAAACCTTTCTGCCATTGACTTTCAATTTTCTTTCGATATGTGGCATAGCACTGATCAAGAGCCTGGAAATAGCACTGAATGGAAAGCTGTCCATCTACCATAGGATACTCTGAAGCCAGGTCTGGCTTATAGAAGTCATAGACATGCTCCATATGGGTTCCTCGGAGACCTGAATAGGAAGATGATGACATAGACTTGATAATCTGTCATAAAAACATGATCTTCTTTACACTATGACAGGGGTGTCAAACTCTATTTCATTGAGGGCCGCATCAGGGTTGTGTTTCACCTCGGAGGGCCGGTGTGTGTGTGTGGTGGTGTGTGGCCGGGGTGGGCGTGGCCATAGTGGGCATTTGACACAGGCTCAAGATGCATTTTTCCCCTTATCTTCCTTCTTTTCACAGTTCTTTACTATAACCATTTTCCTATCTCCTCTACCAGATATTACTGGCAAACATTTATTACTTATTCTTCATTTTTCATACTCCACTAAACTTTTTAATACACCATTGTTTAATAGCAAATTGCTTTTTCAGGCAGAAAAGCTATTTATACTATTGTATTTTTATTATTCAACTAATAATAAAAATACAATAACATAAATAACATGATAATACAAGATCTAACAGCAGAGGTAAATTTCCAGGATAGTAAATAGAAATGGCTGTCAATTATAGATTGTTGATTGTAAATTAAATGGACCCACAGTATGTTAAACTGTAGTATTAACAGAGGATGTTGCTTGTTTTCTATCCAGATCAGGCACTTACTTGAGGCCACATAATTGTAATTATGTCCAATCCAGCCCTCCTGCAGCACTCTGCCGGCCAAAAATGGGCTGCGCAGAGGCCTGCTTTTGGCCGACAGAAGCAGGCCACGTGGGCTGGTCCTTTGATATTTCCAGGCCAGCCCTGTGGGCCAGATTTAAGCACCCCACGGGCCTTGAGTTTGACACCCCTGCACTATTACAATTGAAGTTGTGACAGACATTCAATAATTTATTGAGTGATTTATATGGCCAGTCATCTCACCAAGCAATTTCCACTAAGCATATGATTCTTCCAAGAAGATTCTGATTTCTCCTGCTTATAAAATTGGAGAGCCCTTCCAATATGAATGATATTTTCAATGTGAATATTTATAACAATTAATGCAATAAATAGCCCACACTGAGAGTTTTATATCTCAATCTCACTTAATTTCAGAAGACTCCTTCTCTAAGGTCCTGGTGAGGGGTGTGCTATATCATTTCCCAGATGCTTCCCTTTCCAAGGTCCAGGTTCCCAGGAAGTTTTATCCATTCCCACAAACTGACACATAGAGAATATCTGCTGCTATCTCCTCCATATAAACCTGTCTTCTATTGAATCAGTTCATTCCACCATCTGGAATAAATAATGATCTCAGTGAGAGTCTGATAGAATGTACTAAGGAAGTGGATTCACAGAGGGAGAGGGTGCATTACAGAGAAGTCAGAAACAGCTCACCCCAGACATTTTGTGTGAGAGAAAGAGGGTGAAAACAGCCCATCCCTAATAGTTGACAGAGTGTATTGTAGATGGAGATAGTGGAATGCTTAGTCTGGCAAGATTTTGTCTATAGATATGAAACAATAAAGAATTCAGCTGGGAAGAATTACCACATGTCTTTCTTGGTTTGGGGCCTGACTGATGGTGAATTAAAACAACAGCATCATCCTGATAAGAGAGAAGGTCAGTAGTCAGGTGGGTTACCTGTTTGGAGAAATATTTTATAACTTCTGAAAGGGGTTGTGTCCCCTCTAAAGTTCATAATCTGGGGTACACCCTGGATGTATTACTGTAATTAATTGATGGCCTTATAAAGTTCCTATAGTGAATTGCTACTTGTAGTGGGGAAGAGTTATAACCTGTCCTGAATAAGCCACCCTTGCTCTGGAATATTCTAGGATCATCTGCTATAATGAGTTGCCCATACTATTAAAGATAGGTAAAAACTTCAGCTGATTAAAACAAGAACTGAATTAAGTTACTATAATTGAATATAGTATGCTCTGATTATTAATTACATATGTCACCAGTTTTTTAAAAATGATCAGTTTCTGAATATGATGATTCTTCCCTTTAAAGCTCTATCTGGGTTTAGAATCTATCCTGGTAACACTGATCATAACAATTTTATCACAAGGATATAATGGTTGTTCAAAGCAGACTTTTCCATGCAGAATTAAAAAATGAAATCAATATTTTTTCCCAATCAGGCTTAGTTTTGTTGTGGCTTCATGTTCATTTTATTTTTAACTAGGTCCAGTATAATACTATATTTTGACTAGAGTAACATACTTCTAACAATCATTGCGCAAAAGTTAGTTATTATTGTTCCTTATGTAAATAACCTCAAGAGAAAAGTAGTAGACATGATAGCTAGCACCAAAGGGTGCAGGGTGTTTGCACATGAATCTAATCTCTGCCTGAAAAGCAGTACTCCTCATCAGAGTATAAAGTTTAAGTCTATAGTTCCTGTATTCAATTAAATATTAGTTTAATTATTATACTATGGTGTTATAACAAATAACAAACCTTATGTTTATGTAGATTATCTACATAATGCTATCCTGCCATAAAACTATGCAAATCACCCTGATACTTTCAGCTATGCATGTGGTGAGCTAACAGTTAAAACTCAGAAACTAAACTATAGCCTACTTGTCAAAAATGCTATGAACTTTATTTTGATTGTAAAGTGGCTGATTAAGATAAGACTTGGGCCCACACAATTGCTGTATGATGTGTTAGATTTCTAACAAGATGGTTAAATGGTTCATGCTATAAGCCATTTGCCTTTCCTATGTTTTGGAGAGAGTCAAAAGACAATTCATTAGATCGTAATTTCTGCCTGACAAGTATAATAGGAATCACTCTAAAAGTAAACACATTATGAAATACTCTGATTTACCATGTGCAATAAGTCCTATATAGTAAGCAGTTGCCTGTTTAGTGCAATGAATCTACTGATGATGATAATGCATACACAGGGTATAGAAGGGAAAATATTAATTCAAAAATCCAACCTTTCAATTGAACCACATTTGTTGATCCAAAGGGATTTTAATGATCTTGTGTGATTTGAACTTGTCAAAGAAGAAGGGTGAACTTTTAGGTTCAAGAGTAAAGGGATAAAATCTTTGCTGTTATGATATGAAAGGGTTTTTGTTGTTGTTTCTGCAGCTGCCATGATGAATTTAACAAGAACATGGACTAGTGTTTTGTAAAGAAGTTTGTTCAGTTATATGTTCTTGGTCATGAACACAATGTAAATGAGTGGCACTTGTTCAGTAACTTCACAAAAGTTAGTTCATGAAAAAAATGTTCTTCATAATTTTTTATTTTAATATCAAATTTAGAGATTGCCCATCTCACCCATATAGGCGACTATGGGTGGTGTACAATTAAATGTAATAATGGAAATAAATTACTGACAGGTAATGTTGTATGACAAGTAAATGACAGGTAAAGGCAGTGCCAAAGCTAAGGTGAAAGAATTGTATCAGAACATGAAACTACTTTTGGGAAAGATTCAGTATGAAAAATATAAATTGAACATTGGTGAAGATCTGAAGGTCATTACAAATTTGTATCTTGAATACACAAAATACTTTTGCATTTTATGAGAGTAGTAAAGTAGAAACAAGTCAGAATGACCATCCAAAGATGATCAGGAAAAGAGAATTGGTAAATAATCTCCTTGCTGACTATGAATTTCTTCCACATTAGAATATGGCCTTTCATACATCATTTTAAAACTAACTCAGACTATCAAAATTTTGAAATGCACTGGAAGTTCCTTGAGTAGAAAATATTCTCCATCTTCTAAATGTACCTCCCCAACCTATCCCCACAGCAGATAATCATACAGTGGGAAAATACCTAAAAAGGACTCTTGATATGACATGTGGTAAAAGTAGACTGTTCCTCTAATCTTCCCTAGATGAGCTCTGATTAGCTTTATTCAGAAGTTGCTCAGTTTCCAGATAATGCAAACACAATTCCTCGTTGTTGGGGTAGAGGTGGAAGGAGAGGTAAAGTAAATGTGGTTTGCTCATAAAATACAAGCAGCTACTTTAAGAATACCCTCTGAGCCATACTAATGTCTCAGACACAAAGGACTCTTTCTTGCAGATGAGAAGCTTATTATAAAGAGCAGCTTCTATGTCCCTGAAATAGACATATTTTTACCATCACCAATCTTTTTCACCTGCAAGTTCTTTTGAATTTCTGGTTCAGCATACATCATTGTATCTAACTGCTGAGTAATTAGCAAGCACCATGGAGTCTGACAGATACCCATCTTTGTCCTATTCATCTTTTTCACTTGCAGCGGAATAAATTCATAGCTCTGGACTTGTTCTATCATACAAGTGTCTGTGCTGCAGTGCCCCTGTCAGGGCAGTGAAACTATTAATGTGGCTGTTGTAATGCTTAAGTCCTGTTGCAACAAGACTCATTATCAGCTTCCCTTTAAAGGAATTGTTTTCATCATACACCCATATTGTTCTTCTGCAGTAAATACCCCCCCCTTCAAACTGGTTTTAGCTGAAATCCATAATCTAAGTACTGTAAATGTTTTTACTGACCTCTCTCTAAAGTCAGAGGAGCATTTGGTCCAACCAGCATAGCTACAGCTCCAGCTCCACCTGTTGGTCTTGCATTTCCAGTAGCATACACAGCAATATCACCACAAACCACTAAGGCATAGCGTCCTGGCATGACAAGAGCATCACCAAAGCGTCAACACTGATGAAGAGAAAAACAATCTCTTTCTTATTTTCTTCATAAAATGGGCCAAAGTTCTTTTGTAGCTTCAACTCCTGATCCAGTAGCTGTTATCTATTCAAGAACATGACACTTTACCTAAGCCAATGCTTTTGAATAGTACTGACTTTAAGCTGTGTTCAGCTCTGGGATTTTGGGAATTGAAGTCCACCTATCTGAAATTTGCTGAAACACTGGACTAAGCCAAAAAAGAGAGGCCCCTACCCCAAGGACTTCCCTTTTGACATCAAAGAGCCAACAGAAGCACAGAAAAGGTAAGGAAAAAGTTACAAGACAGATGAAACATGATAGTTTTATTCAGTTTACATATGGTGAGAATTAAGATTTAATGAATGGATACACAGTAGAGAGGTTTGAAAGGAAGGACCTAGATCAAAAATACATGTGATAATATATTAGGGGTCCCCCACCCCTCAAAATTGTCTGATTTGAGAAACCTTGGTGGGGAAGGAAGACTTTTCAACCATTCCCTGTTGGTAAAAAGAGCTATGGAGGAAAACACAGCAGCATCAGCCATAAAACTCATAACAAGGGTGGAAAAAAGAAAAATCACATAGTTCTGTCAAGGTAGATATAGCTTGTATAGCTATATTTTGTCATTTTGTGCTTTAAAAATGACCTCAAGGGGCATCCCCCAACTCAATATTATGGTGGCACAAAATGACATATTCTGAAATTGTGGCTCCTTTAACAAAAAGTAGCCATTTCCTAGTAATATTCCTGACAGCCCTGTGGAAGGCAGCCATATCCTTTACTTCCCTCTTTCGCCATCTACTGTCCGATGGTTCCATCACAGAATTCTGGGTGGAGGCCAAGTGTCTATGCAAGGGCAAAATGACTACTTTAAAATCACTGGAGAATCCCAAACCTCCCCAGCCTACTCTCTGAACTCTATCACAGCAATGTTAGAACTATTCTTCCCAAGTTGGTTGAAATTGAGGATCCTGGTTTTCCAAAAGCCACAAAATTAGTTTCTAAACAGAGACAAAAGCCCAGGCTTTTTTTTTTTTAATGTTTTATACTTCTTTCAGTAAGCAGTCAGGCATATCCTAAACAGGCTGAGCTCTAGAACCAAAGGTCAGATATTATTATATCATGATTTTAAGATTAATGGAAAACTACTAATGTGCACTTTTGAAATCTGGAAATTACATTGCAATCAGTATGGGTTTTGAAAGGAGCTTCCATGTGGAACCTTCTTGACAACAATAATTGTACTGCAACTGAGAAAAGCAGGGTTTAATTACCTACACTTTTTTTTAAAGGGAGTGGTCAACTGTCTTAAAATCTAATCCATAATATGTTTATTCAAAGGTCAGACTTGGAAAACTCTATGGGATTTCTTTTTGGGGGCTGTAAACTATTAGCTAAATTGTAGAGAACTTCTGAAGCCTCTATATTTTCTCCCATGGGGCAAATAGCAATATTGGGGTCATCCCACATTGGTGGTTCAGTTAATGGGCAGCATTAATTAATTAATTAGTAGACAATATTAGGACTGCTTTCTTGTTTACTGACATAATAATAAAGGACAGTGACACAAGGAATGCATCTCATACTGTAATCTTCTATTTGCTCCATTTCATTTCCTCCAGAGTGAGCTCTGCTTCTTTGCAGAAGTAACTGACAGGGAGTCTTCATGTACTTTCTGCTTTGTTACATTATTCTTGCTCTTGAGACAAGGTTGATGATGACCAAATGGCCCATCACCATGCTCTTTTGCCTCTTTTTTGCTATTTTTTTCTTTGGTATCCTAGAATTTGTGCATGGACTTTGAATTGACTGTTTTTCATAAGTAGAAATGGGGGGATAGTGGAAGGTATATCTGATGAATCCCCTATCTCTTCCTCTTTTTTCTCTACAATGAAAGTAATTCTTCACAACCCCAGGGTTATTTTCTGTCTCTGTCAGTCCCAGGTGTATGTCAACATATATTAACAAACTGGATCAAAAAAAAAAAGCATTGTGTCTGGGTAAAATCAAATCATTAATGCAGTATAAGGAAGAACTGAAAAGTTCAGAAAACTAAGCTGAATGGGAAAAGGAGAGAATTTAGAGTAAATACTTGAAAAAAACTGAACTGGATTTTAAAGCTTGATAGATTAAGAGTTGATAATAGATTAAATGGAAAAGGAAAATCAGAAAAGTGGAGAATATTAGAAACATTAAAGCAAAGTTGCTTCTGTAGCAAGAGACATTTTGTCTCCAGTATTACTGCTACTGCAACTCCAGTACTACATAGTAATGATTTATAGAGAAAATTCTTAAAAAACATTCCACTTTCTATCTTCTGCTGAAAGGGTATAATGTTGTGACTACATTATGCTGAATATATAGTATTAATAGTCAACAGCTTTGTAGAATCAAAGGCTTAGCTTCCTTACCTTTGAAATTTAACCAATTAACAATTTGAATAGTTACTCTTTTTTCAGAATGAGCATTTAAGGCACATTATACCATTGTTTTTCAACCTCAGTGCCTTTAAGATGGGTGGACTCCAATTCCCAGAGTTCTGGGAGTTGGACTCCACCCATCTTAAAGTTGCTGAAGTTGAGAAACCTTGGGTTCTACCACTAAAAGAACTGAACTAAAGTCTGCCAACACTTACCATCCCAGGAGCTGGATTCCACCCAATCAGCAGAGTTGAATAGAGAAGCTGTACCTCCATAGCAAGCATTGGTTGTGTCAATGCCCTCAATGTCTGTGTTCCCTGAATCCTGAAAGAGCTGCATCAGAACAGTCTTAACAGCTTTGGATTTGTCAATAATAGTTTCTGTTCCAACTTCCAGGCGGCCAATAGAATCCCAGCAGAGATTGTTTCGCTCTACCAGATGTTGTACCACAGTCAGGCACAAGGAATTGATGTCTTCGTGTGCAGCACAGAAACCCATCTGCTTCTGGCCTAGGCCTATGGTGTATTTCCCAGATTCTACCCCATCATATTTCTCTAGCTCACTTTGTTCTACATATTGGAATGGGAAATATACCTCCAGAGCAAGGATACCCACATCCTTAGGCCATGGAGAGGTTGTTTGGGATGATTGTATAGAATCTGTGGAGAAACTGCAAGACAAGTAAAGAGGGAAGGTTTTTCACAATACACATTTAGATATAAATCTGGCTTCTACGTTATTAGGAGGAATACCTTACAAAACAAACATATTTTGGACTGATGCTGGCAAGGATCTTGCTTGCCTCATGATTATCCCACAAGCAAATAACAAAAGCAGGTGTATTTATACTTAGGGATTAAAGGAAAGGAATATTCACAATTTTGTTTGCTAGGTAAATGTACTATAATTAAACCCCATTGTGTAAATAACTGTTGCTTCACATTTAGGCATTACTGTACAATCTGAGGCGCAAGTTACTTCAGTGCTCATTTTCTCACTCCATCTCCAATATCCCTGTGAAGCTTATGGAAAAGTGAAGTACCTTACAATCAACAATGACACAAAGGTGCTTCGAGCTCCAGTGGCAGCCTTCAGATAAGACTACTGCTGCATTCAAGGCTGCTTTTTAAATGAATGTGGAAATTCCTAGTGCTAAAGAGGACTCATTCAATGACAGAAATATTGCAGGCATCCCCAGTTTATATAGATCTTTGAGATCTGTATAAACAAATTTGTTTTGTATAAACAAATAAATAAAAAAGTCCTATTTATGGTAGTGAAGAGTTGCTTCTATACTTGAGTTCCAAGGAATCTTGTTTCAATTTTTCTGTCACTGAAAGAAATTAGGTAAGTCTCTGCCAAAAAACAAACATTTTGTATTCACTGTGGTACCCTGATATTCAGGTGCTGCCTTTTGAGATAGATTCTTGAAATAGTCTCTTTTTATTTTCTAATGTTATATTTTCATCCTTTTAAAAGAGAACTGGTGAGAACAATTTCTATAATTTCTGTTTTTTTATATTGTCACTGATCGTATTGTTGTAGCAATACTTTTTATAGATTTGGCTTTATAGATTTTAATATTTTGCAAGCTTGTATGAAGAGCAAAATAGAAACATTTATTTTAAATTGGATAAACACCTGATATATATGATTTGAATAGTATCTAAGTTTTCTTTGCACTTTAGCATTTGGGTGAGCTATGGAATTAAGACTTTTACTGGGTTTAGGTCTACAGCATCTTAAAAACAGATGCATTCCAATAGCATAAACGATACTTGCTCATCCTAACCGTAACATATTGTTATCCAAGAGGTTAATGTTTAATACAAAGATCTTTGATTACATTTGCACAAGATCAACATTGCTGGACAGCATTAGGGGTCAGGTCCAAAGGGTGTGTGCATATATTACTTAAGTTATTGCCCCTTAAAGACCCTACAAAAAGAGTATTCTAAAAATTCAGTCTCCTTGCTTTTATTCTGAGCTTTTCTTCCTATTGTCATAGAGATACAGGTAGTCCTCAACTTACAAAGAAAGCAAAGTTTCTCTTGCTAAGTGAGATTTAACAAATGTTAAATGAGTTTTTCATTTTACAACCTTTCTTGCCACAGTTGTTAAGTGAATCACTGCAGTTGTGAAGTTAGTAACCTGGTTGTTAAATGAATCTGGCTTTCCCATTGACTTTACTTGTCAGAAGGTTGCAAAAGGTGATCATGTGACCCTGGGACACAGCAAGTCATAAGTATGAACCAGTTGCCAAGTATCTGAATTTTGATCAGATGATCATGCAGATGTTTCAAAGGTTGTAACTGTGAAAAACGTTCATGTCACTTTTTTCAGTGCTGTTGTAACTTTGAATGGTCACAAAATGAACTGTTGTAAGTGAAGGACTACCTGTAATACTAATTTTAATTTTGATTGCTTTATTATAAATATAAAATTAGCTTTTTTAAAAATATATTTTTATTGTTTTTTTCTTTCAAAAACACAAACAAAAACAAAACAAAAGGAAAAGGAAAAAAGTTTCCATTTTACAACAATTCCGTATCAGTTTATAATCACAATTTGTATTTTCCCCCTTCATATTCACATATTTGTAGTTGTGGTTCTCTTATTTCTTACGTATTATTTATACTACTTATGTATACATTTCTATTATATCTATATATTATTTTACATACATTGTGTATTTCATACCATTTAATACTACCTTATCTCTAGCTCATTTCTATTGTATATTTTCTTACTTATTATTCCTGTCCTCCAACCATTTATACCATTTATTCCATATTAAGTAGCATTCTGTTTCATCTTTTTCTTTTATTTCTTTCATCAATTTATCCATCTCCGCACAGTCCAAAATTTTCCTGTTATTTTTCCAATTTTGTGCATAGGTTATCCTAGCTGCAGTTATAATATGTAGAATTAGATATTGTATTTCTTTATTGTAATTTCTTGTATGTACAGTATGCCCAATAAAAATAATTCTGGTTTCCAGTCTATATGATGTTTAGTTATCTCTTTGAGCCATTTTTTAATTTTAGTCCAATACATTTTTGCTGTTGCACATGTCCACCATGAATATGTCCCGTATGATTTTTTACATTTCCAACAAATCAGTGATATGTTTGGGAACATCTTAGCGAGTCTTGCTGGCAGAAGGTGCCATCTATAAAACATCTTATACTGGTTTCCCTTATAAGCTGCAGACAGTCAATTTCAAATTTATTTCCCAAAGTTTTTCCCATTTCTCCAAATCTATGCTATATCCAAAATTTTTTGCCCAGCTTATCATTGTTTCTTTAACCACTTCCTCTTCCATTCTATATCTCAATATATATTTATATATTTTCCTAATCAATTTTTCTTCCGGCCCTAGTAAAATCCTATCTAATTCCTGCTGTTCTTTTTGAAATTCATATAATTTTATGTCACTATTATACCTGGTCTGAATTTGCATATATGTCCACCAATCTATAGCTATACCCTGGTCTTTTAGTTCTTGTTTAGATTTCAAATTCCCTTGTTCATTTATCAGATCCTTATACCTTATCAGTTTATCTATGTCTGTTAAATTCAAGCATTTCAACACCTCCATTGTGGATAACCAGTTTTCTATTTTGGTGTAATGGTTTCTTTTTATTTTTTGCCAGACCTGAAGCAAGGCATTTCTGATTAGATGTCTTTGAAAATAACTGTGGGCTTTATTTTTCCCATCCCAAATGAATGCATGCCATCCTGCTTGTAGGTCGTGCCCTTCTAGTGTCAAGATCCTCTTATTTTTTAGTTCAGTCCAATCTTTTATCCATGTTAACGCTGTTGCCTGATAGTATAATTCCCAATCTGGGAGTGCAAAGCCTCCTTTTTCTCTACTATCCTGCAGTAGTTTTAATTTAATCCTTGGTTTTTTCCCTTGCCAAATATATTTTGTGGTTAATTTATTTAGATCTTCAAAAAAAAAGTTTTCCCTAGTTTTATCAGTTTGACTTGAAATAGAAATAGTACTCTCGGTAGTATGTTCATTTTGATGGAGGCTATCCTTCCAGTAAGTGACAATTGAAGATTTCCCCAAATTTCTAAATCTTTTTTTTATTTGTTGTAGTATTTTGTTGTAATTATCTTCCTTAATTGAAGAACAGTTAGCCGATAGCCAAATTCCTAAAGTTTACTTTTCTAACTACTTGCATGTTTTTTCTTCTAATTCTCTTGTTTTTTAGTAAGATTTTTTGTTATTATTTTTTACTTTTATTAATTTTAAATCCTGCTACCTCACCATATTCTACTCTTTGAATTAATTTAGGTCCAGATTCTAATGGTTCTTCTAATATGAATACTAGATTGTCGGCAAATGCTTGGAATTTGTATTTTTTAAATTTTTAAGCCTTTTATGTCCTGATCCTAATTTTTATTAAGAGTGTTTCTAAAGTTAAGATAAATAGAAGAGGTGAAAGCGGGCATCCTTGTCTTACCCCTTTTGTTATATCAATTTTTTTCTGTAGTCTCACCATTCATTATCACTTTTGTTGTTTGAATTGTATAAATTTTTTCTACCATTTTTATAAATTTCCCCCCAAATTTCATATTTTTTAATTGTGTACCGATAAATTTCCAATTTAAATTGTCAAATGTTTTTTGGGCATCTAGGAAAACCAGTGCAGCCTGTTTTTCTGGATGTGCCTCTATAAATCCTCTAAAGTGTTTATAATGGTTCTCATTTTATTTTTTATCTGTCTATTTGAAAAGAAACCATTTTGATCTGAATGGATGCATTCATTTAAGATTCTTTTTACTCTTTCTGATATTATTGTGGCGAATATTTTGTAGTCGGTGTTTAATAATGAAATGGGTCTGTAGTTTTTATTTCTTGACGGTCTGTAACTTCCTTTGGAATTAAACGCTTCTGTCCTTGTTGGTAATTTGGCCTCTTCAAGTGCTTCATTAAATATTTCTAATAACCATTCTAATGTAAATTAGCTCTTTTTTTAAAAAAAAGGTGAGATATCAAAGGAAATAAGAGTATTTTCTTATTTAAAGGAATAGTTTATCAGGGCTACAAGCAACAAAGTCTACATCAGTATACTATTAAGTGTGGGCAGGATTTTGAATCCCAGTTTTGAATTTTACATTGACAGTTGACTTTTGGGTTTAATATTTCATTGTGCATTCATGAAAAATATTATGTGAGACTATTAGAATTAGATAGTTCTAATTGAGATCTGAAAAATGGAAAGTACAACACAGTGAAAATATTTATGTTAAGTAGGAAAAAAATAAAAGTATACATTTAATGAACTGGAATAGAAACTATCCTTGCTGTGAAAACTGGTAAATAGATAACTGCAGACTTTCTTGTATTTTTTTAATAAATTGTACGACACCTGAGCTAATTGTGGCCCTTTATGCCATCAAAGTTCACATTGGACCGAACTGCTTCTGCATTACCAGTTAATTAAACGGCTTGCTATTCAAAAACTACATAATTTGGAAAAAGGTTTTTCTCACATGCATTTTTATGGATCAGATTCTCTGGGTTCCATTAGTTAATTTAACCCACTGTTCTTATAGGATTCAGATGTAAACATTCACAAATGATCTTTCACAAAGAGAAGAAATTGTAAGAAATAGCCAGTTATATTGGAATTAAAGGCAAGATAGAGGATGAAAGTTGAAAACACTTGTGCGTGCTTTTCATAGAGAAAAGAGTTTTAAGAAGCATTTTTTTTCACTTGCAGATTTGCAGCTGGTGATCCTAATATTTTAAAACACCCTGACTTCTATTTTTCTAATACTCATTATGATTAAAGCAGAATTTTCTTATCAAATTTTCTAGTAGATTACCATTAGAAAAGTTTGTGTAAAAGTAAAAGTCTGATTACAGAGCCTGAAGATGTCAACATTTTAGTGCTATTTTTTCTTCACTTACCTGTTCTGTTTCACCAGTGCTGAAAAAGTGAGAGGCCAAAGTGTTTTCTGCAATGTTCGTTTCATCTGAAAGCAGCACAACTGCTTAGCGTGTCTGAAAAGCCGGAACATTTTCCAATTTGGTTGAACAGTCCAACTAAACTTCGAACTAACTGCCTCCCCAGCTTTTTAAAAGACATCCCAAGGCTACTTACAGAGTAAGTCCCTCCCTGCTCTTATCATGACAGCCAATAGTATACTCAGTACAGGTAACAATATACAAGCTGATCTAACTAGGCTTTTGTAATTTTTTGTAGCATCAAGTTTCAGTCCTGGGGGTTCCTAAATTCCTGGCCACCTTTAATCAGGGTATCTTCCTATTTTGTCCTGACTAGAATCAGTCTAAACATTTCTATCCATGAATGGTAGGGGGTTTTTTGGACCCTCGCCTCTTCCACATCCGAGTTCTAATATTAAGTCTGTATTTTCCTGTATTGCCCTGTAAAGCAAAGAGCACCTGGAGGTGTGCTCTTTTTCCAGACTAAATCCTGGAAAAAACCCTTCCTTGTTCACAAAAGTGGCTTGAACTGAAAAACAAACAAAAAATTTCCCATGTTTAGTATTTAGGAGTTGGTATAGTTTTGGCATTCATATAGGCATATATATACAAAATTATAATGTTCTTCCTTTTATTTAATGTGCTTAATATTTTATTTTTGAAAGAACATGCCATCCTTCTAAGTCAAATCTTCCTAAAACATTTTATAATACATCCAAATTAAAACCCTAGCATTTCCTCTTCTAATGCTGATCATCTTAATATTGTATTTTCTGTATGTTCCAACACAAGATTTCTGGATAACCACCTACTGCAGTAACAATAATTTATTATTTATGCCTACTTGAAGGAGGCAAAAATAATAACCATAACATTAATATTGCCATCAGCCTCTCAACTATGTATTTAGCAATTTATGGCCACAATTGAACCCAAAATTTCTGTTTCTAGGCAGTTGTTAAATGAGTTATGCACCATTGTATTACCTCTTTGCCACAGTTAAGCAAATCACTGCAGTTGTTAAGTGAATCTGGCTTCCCATACGGACTTTGTTTGCTGGAAGCCAATTGGGAAGATTACAAATGGTGATCACATGACCCCAGGACATTGCAACTGTCATGAATATATGCCAGTTGTTGCCAAGTGTCTAAATTTTGATCATGTGACCATGGGGATGCTCCAACGGACATACCTGTGAAAACTGGTCATAAGTCATCTTCAGTGCCATTGTTACATTGAACGGTTACTAAACAAATGGTTATAACTTGAGGTCTATCTATACTATCATAATTAAATAAGCAAGTTGTACATTTCTCAATCGATTGCCTTCAACTTTAGTTGATAATCATTTATGTTGATAAAATGACAAACAAAATTCTGGGCACCAAAATAATATCTAAGGCTGCCACAAAGTGAACTGAAATACTGTCCTGTATGCATGCAAAAGTCTAACATAAAATTATTTCTGTTATTTCTATGAGCAAACAGTTATTATTATTTAAATAGCTTGTACCTCCAGGCAAAGAAAACACTGATTTAGTACAGCTGTCAGCTAGTGTAAAGAGACATCCAAAGTCAAAAAATAGTTCATTTTATTACTTTAAGTGTATAATATAAACTTACAAAATAGCAGTGCAAGAGGGGACAATTGCGGTAAGGAACTGCCTCCCAGATTTAATGTGCCAACAGATACTACTTTAAATTCAGGTGAAAGGCTACAGAAGAAATGCAGGGGAGAGGTCAGAGTAGCAGATAAAATACAGCTAAAGCTGCTGGGGAAACAAGATGGTTCAAGATACAGGTAATCCTTGAGGTATGACAGGCCATTCAACAAATGTTTGAAATTACAATGCATACCCCAAAAGCTAAATACAAATCTGTTTCAAAGTTACAAATTTTGCAGCGCCCCCACAATCATTCGCCCTTATGACTGACTGCAGAGACTTTGCAGCACACCCACTGTTGTGGCCCCGCCCTCTGAGCCTGTCCCATCGGAGGAAGAAAGCTCCGAGCATGAGGAAGAGGAGTCAGCCAGGCCTCCCTCTCCAGGCCCCTCCCCTCTGGCATTGTCGGCCGAGGGAGAAGAGGGAGAAGAGGGAGAAGAGACAGCTGATTCGAATCAAAGTGATAATGAAACATCATTCCTGGACGCACGCCTCCGAAGGCGTGATAAACGTTTGCAGCAGCTTGGGAGGCGTGCTAGGGATTAGAACTGAGTCACTGGACCACACCCCAGAGACTATATAATAGAGGGTAGTGGTCAAGGATCTTTTGTGACGAACAAAGTAAACCTTGGACAGTCACTAAAGCCTCGTCCGGAACTGCTGGGAGGAATATTATTTCTGTTTGGACTTTCTTGAACGTTCGTATCTTATCTGTCTGTTTGTGAAAATAAAGTCCCTTGGCAGACGGTGTGTCTATCGCTGCCAAGAGGGAGATAAGAACTGGGTGCGTTCCAAAGTGTTTCCTTAACCCTCGGCTGGCTGTGTTGTGTGTGTGTGGGGACGGGGACAGATCACCCACCCATTTCCCTCCCATTTTGCCTGGCCAGGTCCTCAGAAGCCCTTAGAACCCAGTAAGTTGGCCTGCTTTGCCAAGATACTGGGTTCTTTGCATTCCTCCCCCCCCCCCCTCCCCCGTCACAATTCACTTACTTACTTTTTGACGAGCTCAGGAAGTCAATGTAGAAAAGGCTGCTCCCTCACTGGGCCACATGGCATAATCAAGAAGAAATTCTCTTTCGTTTCTATGACAATCCTTTCCCCCCAGCTAGCATAAATAGGTAGTGATTTACCCTGGCTGGGGAGAAAATAATTGCCATGGAAGCAAGAGATAGGATTTCTTCTTTTCTTTTTTTTAAATTTCATTTATATGCCGCCCTTCTCCAGAGACTCAGGGCGGCTTACAATGCGCTAAGCAATAGCCTTCATCCTTTTGTATATTTATACAAAGTCAGCTTATTGCCCCCACAACTGGGTCCTCAATTTACCTACCTTAGAAAGGATGGAAGGCTGAGTCAACCTTGAGCCTGGCGAGATTCGAACCTGCAAATTGCAGGCAGCTGTTCTTCTTTGCTCTACCACCGCAAGACTAGTGTAAAGCTAGCGCTTGTGGCGCAACAAAGGAATCATGCCTATTTTGATTCCTCTCCAGTGAGCATAAATCACTATAATTTCTTCTTAGCGCCACCAGTGTAAAACTAGTGCAAAGCTAGAACTGGCAGCACTAAGAAGAAATTATGCCTATTTTGATACCTTGCAAGCAATAGCTTCTTAGCACCACCAACTTTAGCTTTACTTTAGTCATATGGTGATGGCAGTAAGAAGATATTGTAGAGGTTTACCCTGGCTGGGGAGAAAGGATTGTCATGGAAAGAAAAGACTGGATTTCTTCTTTGCTCTACCATCACTAGCTTTATGCTACTCTTACATTGGTCAAGCAAAGAAGAAATCCCATCTCTTTTGTTTCCATAGCAATCCTTTCCTCCTCAGTCAGGGTAAATTGATTTATGCTGGCTGAGGAGGAAAGGCTTGCAAAGAACCAAAATAGGCATGATTTTGTCTTAGCACCACTAACGTAAAACTAGTGCTGGTGGAGCTAAGAAGAAATCGTAGTAGTTTATGCTGGCTGGAGAGTCAAGGATTGCAACAGAAGCAAAAGTGACTGGATTTTTTCTTCTTGATTGTGCCACATGGCCCAGTGAGGGAGCGGCCTTCTCTACTCTGACTTTCTGAGCTTGTCAAAATGTAAGTAAACAAATGGTGATGGAGTGGGATATTAAGGAGGCCCACAGGGCTTTGGGGAAACCAAGAGGCAGGAGGCAGAGCATGGAATACCTTAGAGGGTGGGAGAGGCCTTCTGGGAATACCTGTGCCTGCACTAGGCCTCCCTCAGTTTCTCCCATGCCTGAGTCAATCCATGCTCTACCTAATGACCTGCACATTCATTTAAGAAATGCACTGGGGAAAGCAGGGACAGGGATATTGTTAGGTCTTCATTTAACATAGTCCTCGATTTCTGACATGAATGAGCAGGCTCCATTAATGTCATAAGTCAAGGACTACCTGTATTAGAAATAGGGTTACATATTACTGAAAAATACAGGGAAGCAGTTCTTCCCACAGATGATGATAAGGAATGTAGGCACTAGTTCAAAATATGACACAAATTGATTAATTTTGTTACATTATCTCTTATACCAGTGGTTCTCAACCTTCCTAATGCCGCAACCCTTTAATACAGTTCCTCATGTTGTGGTGACTCCCAACCAGGGATGGGTTCTAAATTTTTTTACTACCGGTTCTGTGGGCGTGGCTTATTTTGTGGACGTGGCTTGGAGGTAATGTGACTGGGTGGGCGTGGCTAGCTGGTCATGTGACCGGGTGGCCATGGCTATGTGTATAGGGACTACTCAGAGGGCTGAAAAAAGTCATTTCTGCCAGGTCCTCGCACTTTTGACTGGTCCTCACACTTATAACCATCCTCACATTTATGCCCGTGCAGCTTTCTTAACAACCATGTCACTCATTTCACAACTGCTTCTTTTCACCATGGTGACAAGATAGGGCAAAAACGTAAAATGTGAGGACAGTCGTAAGTTCGAGGACTGGTCAAAAGTGCGAGGACCAGACAGAAATAACTTTTTCAGCCCTCTGAGTAGTCCATATGCATAAAAGGATACAGCAATAGAGAGGGATGAAGGAAGGGAAGGGAAATTAGAGTAGGAGTGAGGGTAAGAGAGGGAGGAAGAGAGGAGGAGAAGGAGAAAGGAAGAGGAAGTAGGGAGGAGAAGAAGAGGGGGAGGAAGAGAAAGTAAGAAGGAAAGAAAAGAGAGAGGTGGTAGGTTTGAGGAGAAAGATAGCTGTACAATAAAAAAGATGAAAGGGAAGAAAGCCAACCCCAAACAAATATAAAGATATTAAGATAAAGAATGAATTGTTAAACTTTAAAGAATAAAAGAGAATAAATATGAATAAATAACAATAATTAGAAATACACATACAAACATACAATGTATTTTCTTTTGTAGGAAGTTAGCACCCACCCTTTTCCTGGAAGAGTGAAATATTTTAGGAAATATGAAAAAGGCAAAATATTATATTTCCCTGGGATAAGCATGTTTTGAAGCAGCTCCCATCTTCCTGCCCCCACCCTTTGTCAATGGGCCATTAAGGCCTGGGCCAGTCTATTCTACATAACAAAGATCTACCTCCTTCAGGCAGAGCCATAGTAGGAATTGCCCAAGATCCAATAAAGATAGGATTAGCCCTCTACACAGCAGCAGCAGAAACTCACCACATGTGACCTGGGAAGCACATGTGACCATCAGCCAGCAAGGCTAGCTAAGACCCCCCACCCCCTGGGAGTCTGACAACCAATCAGGATACTCTTTCAGGGCCCCAAGAAATGCAGAGTCAGAGAGAGCATAAAAACCCAAGGATTTACTGTATCTGCCCTTTTCTGTTCAGGAACTCAAGCCATGTGATCCTGTCCACCATTAAACCATCTTTCCAAGCAGTCTCCATGTTTCCAGTGTCTTTTTCCCCACTTGGAGCAGAACCTAGAAGGAGATTTCTTCCAACACTTTGAACAGAGTATTTGGCCGGTTCACAAATTTAAACAGTGTTTAGTCATTTCAATTAAATTTACAATTTCTATATTTCCTTTTTGCCATATTTATTCCTCATCTATTTTTGTAAAAAAACAATATTACCCTTCATCCTCATCTCTAATCTTAATCAAATTCAATTTTTCCCTTCTATTCTATATTATACCCCTTCTCATTGTCATCTATTTTTATATCCATCCTCACATTGGTTAATTATGTAATATTACAGTTGTTTAATATAAATTCAACATTTTAATATAAATCAATTAGTTATATAACTACTTTTTTTGTATATTAATCAATATGAACATGAATATTCCAATTATTTTCATGCAATCCAATTTCTTACAAATCAATTAATTATATTTACCAATAATAATAAACCAAATAATTTCCCCCATATATTCCTCCAAACCACAACTTAACCATTTCTGCTTTCAACACAATATACAATTAATAGTATCGCAATTATTACAATTCCCTAGTTAAATAGAGCTTTTTTTCTTTTGTGTTTTAAAATCTTGAACTCTCCTCTTTTTCCCTAAATTTCCCATTGTTTGCACCTACCTTTTTTGGTGAGGAAAAAGAAAAGAAATCTGCCTGCCTAATTTTCCAACGTTGCAGCAACAGCAAAGCCAACAGCCTGCTTTACTTTCAGTTTTGTTTTTCAGCATAGCTAGGGGAAAAAAAATCTGCTCCAGCAAGCAGCAGAGCCCTGAGCAAAACAGCTGAGAGCAAATCAGCTGAGAGTCGGGAGCCGATCTAATCAAGGGCTAATTAGCCTATGCTGAAGCTCCGTGGGCCAATAAAATTACAAAAAAACACCGAACCATTTGTTAAATTGCTGGCTCCCCCGGCCCTCGCCCACCACTATTTATTGGCAATAAATAGTGGTGCGGAGGGGCGGGGCAAGCCAGCAATTTAACAAACGGTTCGGCTGCACCACTGGCTATAGGGCGGCCCTTTGAAGCCCCACGGCAAGAATTTAAACAGTTTTTTTTCCTCTAGCCATCAGCTGGGACTCAGGAGGCAGCAATAGTGTGGGCGGGGTAAGCGAACGGCCGGCAATCCAACAGAGCAGAGTGAGGGTGAGTGAAGGCATGGGGGGGGGCAGAGAGGGCTTTGGCGACCCCTGTGAAATGGCCGTTCGACCCCCAAAGGGGTCGCGACCCCCAGGTTGAGAACCGCTGTCTTATACCTTTCTCTGCAATCCTTTGTTTTGTTTTTTTAACTCCTTGCTCTGTTTTATCTAACCTTCATAATCATCTTAGTTCTTCAAATGCCTATCATAATGTAGGCAAACTTAAACTTTCCCTGGTCACATTAAACATCAGAGGGAAGATCTGAAGGGAAAGCTTTTTCATGGAATATAAAAATTATTTAAGAACTGCACACTTAGATCAAAAATAGAAAACTAATTGTTGGGACAGACATAATACTAGAGAAATCACACCAGTTGTACAACTATGTTAAGCATGTATAGTATAGGACTCTCTTGCTGTTGTTCCTCAGCAAATGCAGTTCAAATTCATGCAGGTCTATATTAAGGATAGCATAAACTCATTGCCAGTCTTATTTTGTTCTGAATCTGCAATCACTACATTTCTTGAAGAATACTTTAACCACAAAGTTATTTTCTCTCTAATTAGTGCTTCAAAAATGGTCCTTTAGCATGTTTAAGAGGCTAAATGAGCTTAGAATTGCATTTGCATCTTTGTTCTGAATTTGTTAATAAATTTGTTTCAGGAATGCAGTAGCAGACTGAAATACTGTAATCCTAATTCTTACTGAATTTATTCCCAAAAACATTTGCATAGAATTCAGGATTCAGGGTTGGCTGCCTATTGGGTGAAAGATGGCATGCATGTTTTAAAGCGAAGTTGAGTAGCAGTATCCACCCAGCTTTGGCTGATCTTGGAAAAACAAGATCATGCAAGGTCAGATTTGATTAGCATTTGCATGAAAGACCATTAGAAAATCCCAGAGCCCTAGGCTTGACTGAAGAAAGAAAGAGATTTTCATTCATTCATTTATGGAAGAAGGCAATGGCAAATCACTTCTGTACTACAGGTTGTCGTTGATTTACAACAGTTCATGTAGTGACTGTTGAAAGTTACAACGGCACTGGAAAAAGGGACTTATGACTCTTTTTCACACTTATGACTGTTGCAGCATCCCCATGGTCACATGACCCAAATTCGGATGTTTGGCAACTGGTTCATATTTATGATGGTTGCAGTTACCTGAGGTCACGTGACCACCTTTTGCAACCTTCTGACAAGCAAAGTCAATGGGGAAGCCAGATTCACTTAACAACCATGTTACTAACTTCACAACTGCAGTAATTCACTTAACAACTGTGGCAAGAAAGGTCATAAAATGGAGTAAAATTTACTTAACAAATGTTTTGTTTAGCAACAGAAATTTTGGGCCTAATTGTGGTTGTAAGTCAAGGACTACCTGTACTGCCAAAAATGTTCTGTGAATAAGCACATGGATTTCATAGGAGACAAGTTAAAAGATTTTTTAAACTTAATTTCAAAAATGAAATTTTCCCCAATAGAAATCAACAAGTAAACTACATGTTACTTGTTGAAGTAATGAACAGGAATACAAGAAATACAGAAACAATATATTCTGTACTGCCTGATATTTAAACTGAACAACAAATTAATTCGGACAGGTTCATTATGTTATTTAATAGTTAGAACTTTACATAGCATTCTAGTCATTGGCTTTCCTGGAATGAGCAGTGTTTGACATTTTCAAACGTCAGAATAATTTTTTAGCCATTTTTTAAGTATCTATGTATTTTTCACAGGACACCCAGTCTTCGGCAGCCTGCTGGCACTTGGCTGCCATGGTACTCGTTGACCAGATCCTTCTCGGTTGCTATGATCTGACACAGGTTGATTCCCAGCTGCTGTAGAAATGGTTCTGGCTCTCCCTGGAGGAAAAGAAAGGCTAAGTTCAGATGTTTATTATGACCAACCTATCAACTGTTAGGATTGCTGGAATATTTTAAACAATTTTGAAATGTATCTAGGGATATAAATCTAACAAGCTATAAGATCATAATATATAACATTAAAAACATGCTAAACCAGACTCTTAACAGTAACTGAATTATCCAAATCACTGATTATGAGATCTGTCTTCCTGAGATTCACTGCTGAAAATAAGAAATAGCTAATATCATAAATTTATTTTTCTGTATCCTTAGATTATCAATATTCCCTGAAACTGTTGAGCAACATGAAAATGAACAGAAGTTCTTTCAGCCTTTTCCAAATTCTATTCTCTTATAAATCTGCAGAATCACAGAGTTGGAAGAGACCACAGAAATCATTACTGTAGTCCAGTGATGGCTAACCTTTTTTCCATCATGTGCCAAAAGCGGGGAGAGCACAGGGGGGTTGTGCGCGGCTGTGCCCAGACCCATAATTCTATGCGCCCTGCCCCCGCGCATGTGTGTGTGATTCCCCCTGCGCTTCCCTCATTTTTGGCATGTGATGGCATGGCGGGCCCAGTAGGCCCATTTTTCGCCCTCCTCAGGCTCCAGAGCCTTTCTAGGAGCCTGGGGAGGGCGAAAATGGCCTTCTCCACCTCCCTGGAGGCCCTGTGGAAGCTGGAAATGGCCTGTTTGCCAACTTCCAGGGGGCCCGGAAGGCCCAAAAATCAGCTGGCCGCTGCGCGCATGTGTGCCAGAGCTGAGCTCGCGTGCCCATTGATATGGCTACACGTGCCACCTGTGGCACGTGTGCCATAGGTTCGCCATCACGGCTGCAGTCCAATCACCTACTCAGTGCAGGCTCCACTAAAGCATCTCTGCCAGATGATAATTCACTCTCTCTTTGAAGACCTCTAATGAATTTTTCTCCACTCATAAAATTTGCTTTTCATTCTTGAAATAAAAATGAATTATGTATTTCAGCAGTGTAACATCACACGACTGCTCCACAACCAAACTATTTTGATAAGAGCAGCATGTAGTACAATTGCACAACAGAAGTTGTTTTTTTAGTTTGTAAAATAATTCTGCTACCCACATTCCAAAATCCTCTAGTTGATGTAAAGAAGACTCTAACTTTAATCCATTTAAATAAGTTTATAATCAGAACATCTTTAATCAAAAACTTTAAGGTACATTTTAATTATTAATGAGTACCAGTTTTAGTTCCCTTTTGATAAATGTGCCAATTTCTCCTTGTAGGTCCAACTTTAATTAATGTTTGTCCATACAAGTCACAAAACTAATATTTTGTTAAGCTCAAATGTTGTTCTAATAATGGTTTGGATTGTTCACACTGTTGCAATAGATCATGGTTTAGACCAGTAGTGGGTTCCTCTTACTTTTGCCACTGGTTTGGAACCAGAGGCTCGCATGTGGCGCTTCTGCGCATGCGCAGAAGCTCCTGCACATGCGCAGAGCGTCCGTGATGATATCTAGGTGGGTGGGCAGAGCCTCCCATTGCCACCATTACTGGTTCACCCGAACCGGGGCGACCTGGTAGAAACCCATTCATCTCCAAAGTAAGAATTAACAGTAAAAGAAAAAAAGATGGTGTTTCTTTCTGTCAGTGACAGAGATGTTCAAAGCCCTTGGCTTTTATAATATATAATGAATCTGTACCCAAAGCACTCTAACAAAAATGATATTCTTAAATAGTATCACAGAGCTTGTTGGCATCCAAATATATTTGAATTATTCCATTAATTAATTTTAAACTTGATTAATATTGTTCAATGCATCTTTGTAAATATCTGTCCTTGATGTATGTCTTGTGTAGCTATGTAACTAAGACCATAGGTGGTTACCAGCACTAACACCAGAAAATGGAAGAATATAACAGAAAATAGCAGAGTTTTACAAGCCAATTCTAGCTTCCAGGTTTGAAAGTCAGGATATGGACAGAAATAATACCTTTCTTCACACACTTTCTCTAATGGAAGTTAGCGCTTTCGAGGTCACTTCTGTCATGTATGACAGGAAAATGTTCAATTTCACCAAGAATTTTAATAATCTTGGACATGCTATTTGAACCTCTTCTGTTAAATTTGTTAAAATCCAGTCCCACAAATCTAAGTCTCACAACAAGAACTGATCCTTTCCAAGCAAGAATCAACATTTTGAAGAAATATTTCTTTTCAGACTTCTTCCAGATATCTCACACTTTTTATATGATCCATTAAATCAGAGAAATTACATTGGATTTAGGCCTCTTACCACCATTCTCTTCTGTACACATACAAAATTGCCACATACCTTACCAAAAATGAATGAAGTAAAAGCTGAAGGAAACTTTTCACTGTCCTCAGATGCAAACAAAACTTTCCTCAGATACAATAATCATAGTACAAGTATTTAAATCAGTATTCTCCATGGAGTTTTGGAAAGGATAGTCCATACTGATCTGATTCCTCAAAAAGCATTTTCTATCCCAGATATTTATCATTTGTAGAAGTTGCTGCATTGTCTTCTGCATGCAGAAGAAACTTAGAAGCTCCCGCAATTTGCTAACTGTAGTAGTTGGTGGAACAATGACAGAATGAGATAGGGTAGAGAATGTTTCTCAGAAAAGTATAAACTAATATTTTGAGAATAAAGTCAACACCATATATTTATATTTAAAATATGGTATTCCACAAAATGTGTGTTGTAAAATGTGCCCCAATTGATCAAGAACATCCCATTCAGGGACCACAAAGCCTACAAGTCAGAATTCTGAATGCTAAGGCTCCACATAATATCTTAATGCAAAAAACTTTATGAAGGTTCAACATTGATAGAAGAGACATAGTAAAAATATCTCAGAAAAATAAACCAGCCACATAAACATAGTATCTTGCAACCTAACTTACTAGGTGAAATAGATTCTTTAACAAAAAAATTAATATAATATGTATGTAAACATTTTCAAATGACTGGAGGGATTTACAGTGCCAGATAGATAAAAACATTCTGTACTTGACCTAAATGATGCAATAGCAACAGCATGATCCAAATTAGCAATGCTCAATCTGCATGCTATTTCCTATTTGGTGCTATAAATATGGGTGGTTGTAAAACTCCTTTCAGAAAACACAAGGAAATTCAGTCATAATTCTCAAGGTTGCAGTGCTGCAAATATGCTATACTTAGAGGCATGTACTAGTGATGTACAAACATTTTAAATTTAAAATGTTTTGAGCTAAAAGAATCCTCATCTTGGAACTGAAAATTCTCAACAGCTATTTCCAATTTACCCAAAAGCATTCCAAGACTGTTCCAATCTTACCAGAAGTTTGGTACTATTCTGAATTCATAAATACAAAATAACCTGCTTTAAACTCTAAAAAGCTATTTCAAATTTGAAATGTTATGTATATTCATAATGTACTGTACACTTCATAAAAATATAATGGGTTCCCCAACCTTTTAATTCAACCATAATATCCAGCATTAAAAAATCACTAGAATGAAATGAATAATATTTGCACGGTGTTCAGAATGTGTAATTTAAAATAATGAGTACATTTATTTGGAAGCAAATTCTACTGAAATCAAGAGTTCTTAGTCCAAGTAAGAACTCATCAAATCTGAAGGCAAGAGAATCACTTTCCTTTCTCAAGACTGCCCTAAAACCCAGTAGATAACAACCTGCAAAAGGAGAGAACAGGCAGCAAGAAAACTGGAAAGAGCCAGGGGGACCTTGAGAGAGAGGCGAGCAAGCTGCAGCAGGACTGTAGACCACAGCCTTAGGGACTCTTATTCGTGTAGGTCGAAGGACAGAGGAAAATGAGAGTGGTGCAGGGATTTTACTGGCCTTGGCAGACACAATTGGGGGCTCTAATTCAAAGAGAGACACAGAAACAAATTAGAAACACCACATAGCTATAGACACAAAAATAAACTAATGAATATATTTACATATTTTAAATGCTATTACATCAGGTAGTACTACTGTTTTTTGGGGTTTGTTGTTTTACATACATGCAGTTCCTATAGTGAAAAACTATAGATCCATATACAAGAATATGATATTTTAAACAACTTGAAGTATTTAGGAAAAATGGGAGCTAGCTAGGTAGCTGCTCTATCAGGTTTATTTGTTTCATTTTTGAAATAATTTTGGAATGCCACAAATAAAACACTGCATGATATTAATTTTTGTAAAACATATCTGCAATGTATGTATTTCAAAGTTATCTTTAATGGTATATTATACAATAAGAGCATTATCTGTAAAGCTCTGCTCTAAAATATATGCAATGAAGCTAGAATTTAGGCTACAGCTCAGGGAAAGGAAAGGCCCTGACTCCATTGCTGCAATCTTATAGCTTGCCTCTGGAAATTGTGGATGCTCCATCACTGGAGGTTTTCATGAACAGACTGGCAGCCATTTATCCAGAATCTCCTGTTTGAGCAGGGAGTTGGACTAGAAGACCTTCAAGGTCCCTTCCAACCCTATTATTCTATGTTCTGTACCACTAGCTAAGGATGATAAAAATCACAATCCAATACCTATGTACTAAACCCAGCAGAGTAGCTTATGTAGGTAGTGGATTGGAAGAAAAAATGATTTACAAGAAGAATGCAACTGAATACTGAATGTTACTGTAAGTGTGGGGCCACAGCTTAGAGTGGATAATCAGTTAAGAGATAGAAGGATGAGTTAAGGATAAGAAGGATAAGTTAATTCATCAGTTAAGTATGAGAAGCAAAATGTCTTCAAGGACAAACAAAGTTCAGTTGCCTCTTGAAAAAAGCACCTTTGGGACAGTTAAGGAGATACTTAATTATTTTCTACTCAAGTCTCCAGATACACTTTTAAGGGGTAATACATGAACTATCTTGACTGGGAATTTTTTTAAAAAATGTAATGCCAAGCCTTTCTATCATACCCAGAAAACTGAATGTGTGTATTTCTGCAAGTCACCAATAAAAACTAAACTGGAAAGTGATTTTCTTTGTATCTTATGTATACATGCGATAGGGCTGTCTGGGATGGACGGCAGAATGGAGAAATAGCAAGAAAAGGGTTAAGACTTCTCTTACACTTGCTTTTCAAATTCTTTCCTCCCTCAAAAGATTTTTCATGAATAAAATGTTTGCATTCTTAGATGTACTGATGTCCTTTAATTTAATTCAGAGGTTTCTTACAGCAAGGAACAACCTACGGTAGTAAGAGCAGCAGCAGTATACTCCACTATCAGAAAGGACACTCTGAATTTATATATTATCCTTAGCCATACTTCGTTTAACCAAGGTTTCTTGAAGCACAGTCATTTTTGATGTATGAATTCAACATGATTACAATTCAGTCCATCTTTTTAGACCTATTGTGTTTTTACGACTTGGAAAAAATAGGACTGGAGTGGGGAGTGAGGAGGGTTCTATAGGAATGGGGAGTAGGTGAACAGTATGACATATGGTTAAAATTCAATTTTAATATTATATAGTTAGTCTCATACTTGTGACATCAGAGATTTCATGGTATTAGGGAAAAATTCCTCTCAGAATAAACTCAACAGTGTTATGTAAAATCTTACTAGGAATTATGACATTCAGGGAGATAATTTCATGTTGCAGTTTATAGCGATAAATGCCAGAAAAATTAAGACACAAAGACTAATAGAAGATAATATTTGTAGCTCAGGGTTGAACTGTGGAATTCTTAGTGCTCTCTGAGCTGGGTTGTTTGCTTGCAAATATTTAATTAGTCAACTAGTGCTTGTTGGATAATGAAACAACTGCAAACAACCAAGCTCCTAGACCACCGAGAATTCCACACAAGGACTAACAAATGTTCATAATGTAACTAAGAGCCACTGAAAGAGAACACAACAAACAGTATAGCCTATTTTTTCATCAACTTTCATTCTTGCAAGCTAATTCCCCATTGATCAAATTGGTCAATGTATCAAAAATTCACCCTAGACCTTCCGGTTGGCACTGCCAGCACCGCGGACGGTCTTTTCAGACCGCCGGCATCGTGATTCCGTTGGAGCTGTCCTGACAGCGCTAGAAGAAGGGGAGAAGAAGGGGAGGAGAGCCGGTGGGCGAGGGTAGAGCTCCCCGGAAGCCCCTGGAATAACTCCAGGGGCTTGGAGGGTGAGAGCCCCCTGGCCAGCCCACTGAAGCTCCGGATCCGGTGCGACTCTGTATTAACAGAGCTAGGCGTCACGTCCAACTCTGCTGTCAAAAAGAAGATTGATTGAATCCAAAAAGCAGACTGAACGGAAGCAGGAGAACAAGCTTTTGCAAGTATAATGCTTAACTCCGGGGATACAATGTTTCTATTTGAATTTTCTGAGCTGGAGGTGAAGATGGCGTCTTTGTTGCGAGTCTAAAAGTGAAAGTTAGAAAGGAAAGTGCTTGTTAACAGATTTGTGCTCAGAGACTGGCTTTAAGTTGCTGGATTTGATTTTAAAGAGCTGCTTGGAGAAAAGATCATTTTGCTTGGTGATTTACAAACAAATTGCTGAAAGCTGTTCAAGAGACTTTATGGCTGTGACTTTATGACTTTATGGTGGTGAAAAGAAATTTTTTCTTAAAATAAGATGGCTTCCAAGAAAGGAGTTTTTGAAAGTGCTGGAAGCTCTCCAGTGGTGTCAGAAATGACACAGTCGACTGATTCACAGAGATACAAGGATTCTATTAAAGAATTTACAGAATTTGTAAAGGAAGCCATGAATAATCATACTGTAGCTATGATTAACCAAATAGCAATCTTCGAATGGAAATTAAAAGATTTGTTGGAGGACACAAAAGCAAATACAGAGCACAATGACAATGCAGGAGACATTTTGATTAAAGCAGAGAAGGTGGAATCGGCTGGTTCTCAAGAACTTTCAAGCTTACTTCCTGCTCTTTGTGATGATTTGGAGAGGAAAAAAGTAGAAAATAACCAGCCTTGCGAGGTTTTGGAGGAAGAAGGAGATTTGTCAGCGGCTTTCACACAACTAACTGAAAAGAAACAACTGAATTTTTCTTTGCGAACTGATGATAATCTTTGGTTTTACAGAACAAGGAATGAAGTGACTGACTATATAAGCAAGAAGAGGCGATATGGTGGCTCTAAATCAGAGGAAACACTTTCAAAAAGGGGACAATTTTTACAGATACATCAACCTCAAATTAAAATTAAAAACCTCCTCAAAACAGAACTAGGAGGGATGAAGAAAGATTGGAAAAAATATAAAAAAAAAGCAAGAATGGAAGATTAACCTTTTTTGGATTTGCAGTTGATGTTTTAATGGCTAATTAAAAGGATTATGTTTTAAGATTTAAAAGTTGGAGGGAGGAAGACTTTTTGTTATAAGACTTTTAAAATATCTGAAAGCATGAAAGTAAGATTAACTTTTTTTTTGGTTTTGCAGTTGATGTATTAATGGCTAATTAAAATGATTATGTTTTAAAATTTAAATGATAGTGGGAGGAAGAAAGATTGAGGGGAAAATGCAGAAACTCAATTATTGACTAATTAAGGTTTACTTTTTGCTATAAGATTTTCTAAAATGTCTGAATTTTGAGAAAAGTGGAGGAAGAGTAAAATGTTTATGTAAATGAATTAAGAATACTTTACATATATACTAAGAGAGTTTTTAGGGTTTGAATGATCAATGTTTGTTAATGTTTTTAAAACCCTTAGAGTTAATGAAAGGGGAGGTTGATGATTTTGTAGAAGGGGAGTTAAGGGGTCCAGGGAGTTTTAAATCTTGCAGTAAGTTAGCATATGTTAGTGAATGTTTGTTGAAGTCTATGCCCTGTTTTTGTTCTGGGAAGTCGGGGGTGGGGGGTGGGGAGTGGGGGTTGAAGGTTGATGATAGATTGAATGATTGCTTATATTGTATATTTGTTTGATTATAAAATAAAATAAAAACTTTTTCAAAAAAAAAATTCACCCTAGAACCATACAGTTTCTAGCATTAGGTTAGGTTTTTGCTGTTTAAAACCTCACATCAGCACCCTACTCCCATTTGATCAAGTTGCATTGCTGCTCTTCTAGTGAATGGCACTAAGTCAGAAACTACAGAAGTATTGGATGATATATGCAGTGTCAAGTGCGATTATTGTTACAAATGCTCTGAAGGAGTTTAGGTTAACAACCAAGATAACCTTGTTATTAATTAACAATTCAAATGTGTTTTTTTATTTACACTCATGATAGTTAGCAACTACCATTCTAAAATGAAACAGGCAGTATTTTTCATTGCTGAACAGAACAGAGTGAACTGCAGAGAAACAGTAGCAAGATTATGTTGTTACTTTTTAGGCGGTGTAACAAAGAGGATTATGCAATAAAAATTTGATTTAAGTATCAAGAATAATAAATATTTGTTTCTTACAATAATTTCAGTTGTTGCCCTGAGTTGCCCTGTTCACAAAGAACAGTCTATAATGCAACTGTAGTCTGTGGCTGTATATCAATGAAATAACTATTACCATGTTTCTCCAAAAAGACGACCCACCTTGAAAACAAGCCCTATCACATTTTTAAGCACGAGATCAAATTAAGCCCCACCCACAAAATTAGCTCTAATTAAGACTCTGCTCACCCCGGGGTGCAGGGGGTGGGGTGAGGCACAGGTAAAAAATAAGCTAGGGTGGGGATGGGGGTGGTGGAGCTGCCATACTTACCAGACCTTGCGCACCCTGACACCTGCCTCACCTTCTTCTGCGGCCGCTTGCCGCAACTTGCACGCATCGCCCTGGCCTCCGTTTCGCCTTCGGATCGATCTGGAACTCTGCTATTGGCTGCAGATGCTTTCTGGCAGGCATCTGAAGGCAAAATGGAGGCCGGGGCGGTGCGTTTGAGTGGCTGCTGGCCCGCAGAAGTGGGCCAGCAGCAGGCTCCTGCTGGGCAGGGCTGTCAGTGCCACTGCCACAAGGTGAGTCAATAATTAGAACCCTCCAAAAAGAAGGCCTAGCCATCTTTTCAGGGGTAAAAAGAAAATAAGACCCAGCCTTCTTTTTGGAGAAACACAGCATTTAAATTGGAAAGGCTTACTTCAGAAAGTCTGATCAGTTTTTAGAGTGAAAGCAACATAAAACTATAACATTGCACTACTTCTGTTGTTATATTTAATTGAAAACATGCCAGGTCAATGATAGCTTAGTAATATATACTTTGTACATGCTGTTAGAAGGAACAACCCCAGATTTGGCCCAGCAAATATTGGGTCCAAACACTGGCACAGTTGAAGCAATCAGAGGGATAGTTCAATGATCTGATACAACATATGGATGTTCTACATGTTTTTAGTGATAAGCTACCTGGAAAAAGAACACTATCTGGAACTTAGAAATGCAGTAAACTGAGACTGGGATTTAACCTGTTTTAAAAAGCATAATTTTTGATGTATGATTTTTCAAGAAATGATAGCAATTTATATTGTTGGTAGATGAGATTGAAAAATCAAATAAAACAAAAGGAACAATTTTTTTTTTGAAATTTTAAACACAAAGTGGATTGTTCGAAAAACAAAGACATTAACAGTCCAACACTTAGTAATGCTAGAATGTTGTCTCAGATCAAGAATATGAGGACATTAAAAAAATTAGCATAACTCTATTGTGTCTTCAGAATGTTTTGTCAAGTAGAAAATTATCAAACTATTACATAGGTAACCTTCCAAAGATTCAAAGTACTCATGTCACTGCTGCTGTTCCTTGCCTTAGACCAAACCCTGATTGAGGTATAATACATGCCTCTCAACAAACGGGGGCACCACTGACCTCGTGCTGCATCAGGAGGAGCCTCAGTACTAATTAATCTCTGCCCAGCACACATGGAACGCAACATCTGAAAGACAGCCAAAGGTGCCACATTCATGCGTAGAAGGTCCAGCAAAATCCTAAGGAGAGAAAATAAGAATTTAACACTTTCATTCATTATTTGCAAACAAGATTTCTTGATTACAGTATCTGAAACCAATTGTTTCTGGCTTGTTAAGTAAACTTAACAACTGTCTAAAAGAACTGATGGAGGGGACGTTGGTCTTATCGTGATACGTTCCTTCTCGTAGTGTGAAATGGGAGGTGCCAGCCTGGGTTATTCCTTGCTCTAGCTCTATGTCCTGAGCTGAAAACTTCTGAAGATCCGCCTCCCTGGTGACGTCTCTTCAGTTTTGCCAGCGAAGCCAAAGTGAATGGTACACAGTCCAGGCAAATGGTATGCAGTCTGAAAGATAGAAACAACATGCTCCACCAGGGGAGCCGGTCCAGGCAGCCACAGACAGGGTGGGGCTGGCACCTCCCATTTCACACTACGAGAAGGAATGTATCACGGTAAGACCAACGTCCCTTCTCCATAGTGTAGAAATGGGAGGTGCCAGTCTGGGATATACCAAAGACTGGCCAGCCCTAAGGGTGGGAGCTGTCCTGGGCCGACGACCCCGGATCTTCATGAACCCGCTGCAGAACTCTCCTCCCAAAAGCTGCCTCCGCCGATGCGAAAGAGTCAAGTCTATAGTGACGAATGAAGGGAGTGGGAGTAGTCCACGTGGCCGCCCTACAGATGTCTTCCACTGATGCCTGAGTAGACCAGGCCGCAGTTGTGGCAGCACTGCGGGTGGAGTGGGCCGTTATCCCTTGAGGCACCGGGAGAGCCTGAAGCTCATATGCAGATGAGATGCACGACCTGAGCCAGCGCCCCACCGTGGAAGAGGTCACCCTGTGGCCAAGAGTCGACGGCTGAAAGGAGACAAAGAGTGCCTCCATCTTTCGGAAAGAAGAGGTCCTAAAAATGTAAATACGGAGGGCCCTCCTCACATCCAAAGTGTGCCAGGTCTGCTCCAAGGCGTGCCTAGGCCGAGGGCAGAAGTCTGGCAGGACCAACTCCTGTGCTCGGTGGAACAAGGAGTTGACCTTAGGAAGGAAGGCAGGGTCCAGCCGCAGGACCACCCTGTTGGGGTGAAAAATACACAGGTCTTTCCGCACTGATAAAGCCGCCAATTCCGATATCCGTCGGGCCGACGTGACGGCCACAAGGAAAGCTACTTTACACGATGGAAGCCAGAGGCTAGCCTCCCTCAAAGGTTCGAAAGGTGCCTTTGTTAATGCCTGAAGAACCTTAGCGAGGTCCCAAGTGGGGTAACGGTGAAGAGGCAGTGGTTTTAGATTAGTCACTCCACGCAGAAAGATCTTCACCCTCGGATGGTTAGCGAGGGAGCCCCGCTTCCCAAATGTCAAGACAGTGCCTAGCGCAGCCACCTGTCGCCGTAGAGTGTTAGTGGAAAGTCCCATGTCCAACCCGTCCTGTAAGAACTCCAGGACCTCCACCACCGATGCTGAAGTTGGGCTCAACTGTCTGGAGGTACACCACCCTGCAAACCTGTTCCACGTTGCCTCATAAATTCGTGTGGTGGAGGGCCGCCTGGCTGCCTGCATAGTCCTGATGACCCTGTTCGGAAAGTTCTCCCGCCTCAAGAGGCCCCGCTCAACCTCCAAGCGGCTAACTGCAGTCTCTACAGGTCCGGGTGCTGTACCGGGCCCTGGCTGAGTGCGACTCTGTCCGGGGGAATCCGCCAGGGCTTGGCGACCAACAGGTCGACCAGGTCAGCGAACCAAGGCCGCCTGGGCCAGTGAGGGGCCACTAACACCATTTCCGCCCCCTCCAGCAGCAGCTTTCGAATGACGGCTGGGATCAGGGGTAGGGGAGGGAAGGCGTATAGGAGGTCCTTGGGCCACGGGATCCGCAGAGCGTCCACCCCCGCAGCTCCCGGGGCAGGAAACCGGGAGAAGAAAAGAGGAAGTTGTGTGTTCACTGGAGAGGCGAAGAGGTCCACTACCGGGCGACTGAACCGGTCGACTACCTCCGTAAACAAGCTGGGATGGAGCCTCCACTCCGAGGGGTCCACAGTGGCTCGGCTCAGCCAGTCAGCTTCTATGTTGTCCGTCCCTGCGATGTGGTCCGCTGTCAGGGACAAAAGGTGGGTCTCTGCCCAAAGACAAAGGGTCTCCGCCTCTCACATTAGAGGCCAGGAACGAGTCCCCCCTTGCCTGTTGATATGGGCTTTTGTCGTTGTATTGTCTGTGAGAAGGAGCACATGCTGCCCCCTCACCTGCGGAAGAAAGGTCTGAAGAGTCAGACGCGCCGCTCTGAGCTCCAACCAATTGATCTGATGGGATAGTTCTAGGTGGGACCAGCGGCCCTGGGCCACCTGCGATCTGCAATGCCCCCCCCAGCCCATCAGACTGGCATCCGATGTTACTACCACCCTGTGGGGTTCCCTGAAGAAGCACCCCTTCTGGATGGCCCCTGACGTCCACCAGTCCAGGGATCGTAGAACCCGTGGTGAAACCTGAACCCTGATCTTGGATGAGCTCGTTCCTGCCTTCTGAAAGGGGAGCAATAACCACTGTAGTGGTCTTGCATGGAACCTGGCCCAGGGAACTATGTTCAAACAAGATATCATTTTCCCCAACAGTTGGGATAGCTGGGCTACCTGAGCCGGCTGGGACCGCTGAAGAGACTGAATCAGCATCCTTATACTGTCCTGTCTGTCCGGGGACAAGAAGACCTGCTCCGCTAGCGTGTCTATCAGGGCCCCTAGGTGGACTAATCTTGTGGAAGGTACCAGATGACACTTTGCCAGATTCACCAAGAACCCATGATCTCTCAGTACCTGAATTGTCGTGGCCAAGTCCTGTTCCGCTCGCCGTTGGGAGGACCCTTGTATGAGCAGATCGTCGAGGTAACATTGAACTCTGATGGGAAGAGACCTGAGATACGCCGCCAAGACAGAGAGAATCTTGGTAAACGTCTGGGGGGCGGAGGCCAGCCCGAACGGCAGAGCAAGATATTGGTAGTGACGGCCTGAATAGCAAAACCTCAGGTATTGACGATGCTCCGGTCGAATTGGGACGTGGAGGTAGGCTTCGGTCAAATCTATGGAGGCTAGGAAGTCTCCCTCCCTGATTCCCGCTAAGATGGAATGCAGGGAGTGCATTTTGAACCTCCTGTAAACGACAAACTTGTTGAGGCCCTTCAAATTTAGAATTGCCCTCCCCCCCCCCCCCCCCGAGGCCTTTGGGACGACAAATAGGATGGAATAGAACCCGCGCCCCCTCTGCCCCAGTGGAACTGGCTGAATGGCCCGAATATCCAGCAAATGCTGGATAGCCAATTCCATGAGTTCCCGCCTGGATGGGTCTCCAGAAACGGGGCAGGGGAGGAAACGCCTCGGAGGAGGTGAAAGGAATTCGAGGGATAGCCCTGCTCTTACTGTCTCCCTCACCCAATTGTCTGTTGTAAGGTCATCCCAGCGGTCCGCAAACAAGCTGAGCCTGCCCCCAAGAGGACTCAGAGACGGACAGTCACTTAGATCTCCTGGCTCCTCTGCCACCCGAGCCCCTGAAGGGCTTATTGGACTGCTGTTGGCGACTACGGGGGAAGGCTGATCTATCTGCCTGGTAGTTAGGTCTAGAGAAATGAAAGGGCCGTTGCTGATGGGGAAAGCTTGGCCCAGCTCCCCCCTGGCGGAAGGAGGGCTGCCTATAGTAAGGGGATGAACGGAAATCCATTCGCCTGCCCTGGGACGGGAGGACCTTTCTCTTATCCCTCGTCTCTATGAGTAGGGGCTCTAAGGCTCGGCCAAAAAGGAACCCCCCTTCAAAGGGAGCTGAAGCCAACTTCCACTTATTCTTCCCGTCCATTCACCAATGACGTAGCCAAAGCATACGTCTAGCGGTGACTGACGAAGCCATGGCCCTGGCGGAGAACCTGGCAGCGGCCAAGGTAGCATCCGCCGTGTATTCAGCTGCAGCTAAAATCTTAGACAGGTCTTGATGGGCCCGAACATCATCTGGTGCCAAATGGCCCTGTAGCTGGCGGAGCCATCTAACCGATGCTCTAGTGAGGAAGGAAGCAGCAGAAGAAGCTCTCACAGCCCAGGCATCCGCCTGGTGCGCGCGACGAAGTGCCGTCTCTTCTCGCCTATCCTCTGCCTTTAAGGCGTCCTCTGCATCAGGTGGTAAAACAGAAGAAGAGGTGAGAGCCGCCACCGGAACGTCCACCTTTGGAACCTCCAACAAAGTAAGCATGTCCGCATCAACCGTAAACAACTGGTTGTCCAGACCTGAGGCCCTGGAGGGTAGAGCCGGGGCCGCCCACTGTCTATGGATCATGTCCAGAAACATTCCTGGAATAGGAATAGTATCTGCCTCCACAGCCTGCTCTGTGAAAAGGTAATCATCCTGCTCTCCAGTACCAGCGGTACCAGAGAGTGTTGGGTCAGGACCCAATCGAGCGGTGGCCCTGGCTTTTGTCAGAAGGGGCTTCAAAAGGGCAGGATTAAATAGCCCTTTGAATGCGGGCCTAGGTGGTTGGTCCAGATCCCCATCCGATAACTCTCCCTCCTCCATGTAGTCTTCTGCATAGTCAACTAATTCAGAATGGGAAGGGGAAACCTGCCCTTGGTAATCCTCAGAAGGGGCAACATAACCCTGGCTTTCCACCTCAGGTCTAAAAGCATACATTTGGGCAAACATCTGTGACTGAAGCTGCATCCCTTCTGCAATGCCCTGCCTAATCGCCTACTCCACCCAGGACTTCATGGAATTCTGAACATTCATTTCCCCCGCTTCACCCTGGCGAAGGCCAGCCGCAGTGGGGGTATAGGTGGCTTCAGGGCGGCTGTTAGTCCCAGAAGGCCCAGGAAGCTGCTGGGGCTTGACCTGCATCTCTGGAGACCATGTCCTGGTCAGCCCAGCCAAGGTGGGAGAATGGGCAGTCTGAGGAACAGAAGTCTCCACAGTTTGGGCTGGTGGCTGAGGCGCAGACACAGTAGCTTGAGGGGGTTCAGCAGCTGTATTGATGGCAGCGGCCCTTGCAAATTCTCTGTCCAAGGCACGT